CCCTTTCCCTTCTGCTGAAAGCCAGACCGTGCACCCATCATTGCTGGAGCACTGTCGGTACAGATACCACAAAGATTTATGCATCCGAAGAAGTGGGTTGTAGCCCACTAAAGCTTATGCTCTAATAAATTTGTTAGTCTCTAAGGTGCCACAAGTACTCCTGTTCTTTTTGCGGATACAGACTAACACGGCTGCTACTCTGAAACCTGTCACAAAGATTTTCCCACTCAATGCCATTGCTTTCAAAAAAGGCATTCACCTTATTGAAAATGGCCTGTGCTGTTGTGGTTGTTTCAAGTTGCTCACAGAATAAGAACTCACCCTTAACATCCCCGGCATTTACATACCGTACAAATGCTATCAGTGGTGCACAGTGAGTAACATCAGTAGTTTCATCAAGTTGCAGGCTGAACATACTGAAAGCAGAATGTTCAATTTCGTGCACAACTTGTTTTTTGATATCTTCAGACATCTCCCATATTCTGCGTTTCACAGTATCATTAGACATGGAAAGAGTATTCTGTTTTTTTGGCAGTATCATTGCCAACCACAAGTGCCACAATATCTTTGCATGCTGGCAGAATAAGCTCCTCACCTACTGTACATGGCGTTTTGGTACGGGCAATTTGTAGTGACACTACATAAGAGGCCTCCACAGCTGAGGACATTTGCTGTCGGAAACTTCCATCACCATCAAGCCTGGCCTTCTATATTGCTTCTTCTCTGCGTTTGAAAAAATCCACGTTTTGATTTTTATTCTCAGGATGGCTAGTTTCTAGCGGGGAGGGATAGCTCAGTGGTTTGAGCATTGGCCTGCTAAACCCCGGGTTGTGAGTTCAATCCTTGAGGGGGCCATTTAGGGATCTGGGGCAAAAAAATTGGTCCTGCTAGTGAAGGCAGGGGACTGGACTCAATGACCTTTCAAGGTCCCTTCCAGCTCTATGAGATAGGTATATCTCCATATAAAAAAATTAAAAAAAATATCACTGCAGTTTGCATGGTTTCATTGATTCAGCAGACAAAACTCCACAACAAATGACCATTGTGGTTTTTCAATACCAGAGATGATGATACTGGTAAAAACGAGTTTAATGTAAGACTCAAGATACTTTTGTGTTTTAGCAGTACAGGTGGCCATTATTCTCAGGAGACGGTTTGCGCTCGTGTGTCTGACTGTTAATTAATAAAGTACCTGTTCAGCTGCTAAAGAATCAAGCTCTTTAATGTTGTCTCAGTACCAGGACCAGCCATAAGAAAAATGGCCCCCTGGGCAAACTTCTATTTGGCGCTCTTTCTTTGGGGGTGGAGCTGGGCTGGAGGTGGAGTGGAGTTGGGCTGGAGGAGCCTGGGGCTCTGAGGCCCACACATGGTGATGATGGGGGCTGACAACCAAGTGCCTGGCCGGGCTCAGGGCTGACAACCCTGTGTGTGGCAGGGCTGGGGGTTAACAATCTTGTGCCTGGCGGAGCTCCCGGCTGATAACCCTCTGCATGGCTGGGCTCCGCCTGACAACCCCAGTACAGGGGTCGGGGCTCACAGCGTCCTGGATGCCCCAGCTCAGGGCTCACAGCCCCGCTCCTGGTTAGGGTTGGGGGATGACAATACCATGCCTGGCCGGGGTTGGGGCTCGCAGCCCCACTGCCCTGTGCCTGGCCGGAGATCGCAGCCCCACTCCTGGCCAGGGTCAGGTCTTGCAGTGCCATAGCCCCACCCAGGGGTTGGGGGTCGGGATTCACAGCCCCACAAGGTGGTTGGGGTTGGGACTCGCAGCCCTGTGCTGGTGTTGGGGTCGGGGCTCACAGCCCGGTGCAGGGGTCGGGGCTCGCCAGGGTCCGGGTTCAAGACCCCCCACATAACCGGCTTTGAGAACCAATGATCTAGAACAATGTCTAATTGGTGGGTGAGCTAATAGTCACTGGATTTGTCTCCCCTCGGAAGCGGTGGATGCTGCGTTACTTGGGAGGCTTGTAGATCGAGGTTGCCCAAAGCCCTGGAGAAGTGCACTGGCCCCTGGCCTGGGCTTTCAATGGGACTTTAGAACTTGAAAGTGGCTTTAATTTTCATAGTAATCGATGCCCTCTTCCATGTTTGTGCAAGATTCCATGTCTGGAGGCCTGGTGCTAGGGGTGGCTCGGCCCGGTGCTGGTGCTGGCCTGCGTCCCCGGGCAGTTCGGCTGGGACGTCTCTGGCTGTGGAGAGGGAGTGGGCACTCGGAACTCCAGAGGGTCAGGGCTGCTTGGCTAGCCTCCCTGAAGGAGGGGCTCACACGCCACCCATGGCATGGAGATGGTCTTTCTTGTGCTCACAAGTTTCTCCTGCTGGTTCTCAGGTTGCATGGAGGAGTCAGGAGCCAAGGGAGTAGGAACAGAGCACAGGGCCAGAAGGGTCTGTACACTCCCCTCCAGAACCTGGCGTAGGACCCTCAATGTCCCTCTAGTTTGCTGGCCTGCCATCCCCCACACACGGCAAGAACGGCCCTGCAGCGTGTGCCTGCTTCCTGGTGGGGCAGGTAGGGATCCGGTAGGATGGGGACTGTCATGGTGACGCACACTGCTCACTGCAGACAGAGGGAGTGTTTACAGTCGACAGAACTGGCAATTCTTTAGGCCCAATTTCGGAGAAAAAATCTTTGGTCAGTTACACTGTGTCCAAAATAGTGTGCAAGACTCTGCACAATCATCTCGCACGTGCAGGAAGAATGGAAGGGAAACTTCGGTCACTTTGGCCGGTTTTCCTTCCCCTGGAGCCAGTATCTCCCACTTGGAGTGCAGCTGAAGGGCTATCTGGAAAGGCCCTTTAGTGAGATGCTTCACAAAGCATGAGCCGCATGCTTTCGGCAGGCAGCAGTACCCCCAAACCAACAGGACTGGGGGGCGGGGCGGGTGAATAGATTTTGTTAAACTAAAACCAAGATGCAGCCCCAGAGCTCCCCTTCCACACACCTCACACGGGCCATTGGTTTGAAATATGGTCATTTAATAAAACTTTCTTTTTAAAATAATACAGTCCATACAACAATTACGGTTTCGGGTCAGGAATCGACATGAACACACGACGTACGGTAAAGGATAAGGGATCGTAAAGTGACAACGTAGCCATAAAATCGTGTGATCGAGGCTTTAGTCTACGCACAGCTGTGCCATCGTCACGCAGCTGTTCACACGCACAGTGCCACTGGGGGCTCTGCCATGCACAGTGTATTTCCAGGGGCACCCTGGTGCAGGCTGATTCACTAGTGACGACCCTGCGGGGCTGTGTGCCTGGGCCTCACACACATGCAGAGGTTCCGGCCCCTCTCCGTCCAGTTCACTCAGGGACCGACGGGAGGGGCGAAGGCAGGAAGCTGCTCAGTGAACTCAACGTTCCACGCGTGGGATTGGGATGTGGAGCCGCGTGAGTGAAACAACCTGAGATTGAACTTTGGGCCAGATTCTGTATGCACTGGGTGTGCTCAGCCTGGGGTGTCTGTGGGGGCCTCTAGAGCCACACAAGAAAGCCTTGAGGGGAGGGGTTAGCCACAGGGGGTGGGAATGCATTGCACCCCTCCTGCACCCTCCAAAATGGGCGGAGCTTTAAAGGGCCCCGCTTCTCATGCACGGTGATCGGCCTGTTAGTCACACTCACAAGCAGCAGCGACTCAGGTGAGTCAAGAGAGGAGCCGTGACCCGGGCAGTGTTACAGTGGGGCCCAAGGCTAGCATGGAGGGATCCCAGCATACTCTGCTCCATAGCCCAGCCAGGCCTTGGCATTAAGACTTGAAGGGAAGTGGAAACGTGCCCCTTTTGGGGCAAACGGGGTGTAATCCTTGGGCTCCTGGCAGTGGCCAGGTTTGCACAGGTGCACTGGCCAGTGCTTGTTCAGCAGAAGGGCTCACGGTGGGAAGGAAAAGCTCCAGAATGAAGCAATATGCCTCCTGCAGACTGCACGGGGGCTGGGAACAGTTTAAAAGTGACACCTTTGACATTTCTGAACAAGTGAACTTTCACTACTTCTCCCATTCGAGAGACGAGGCCGTCTCGTCCCACTGTGGTGGCATTAGAAAGGGCAGTGCGGGGCTTCTCGCTGCTGGGGTTTGTCACTATGGAATTTACTCTTTCCCTAGGGACCATGCAAAGAGGTTTGTTTTTCTTTTTGCTCCCAGGGCAGGTAGGCCGGAGGAGAGCACTGGCCCATCAGAGAGCATTTCCAGCCACTAGCCCACAGCACTGGTGTCTGGCAGCAGTTGGGCAGTGCACACACTCCATAGCTTTCTGTTCCACAGCAACTGATGACATCAACCAGAGAGGCCAGAGGCTTATTTTAATGAGCAAATCAAAGAGTCTGGCAGGCTGAGAAATCCACCATCAGAAACCTGCATAGCTGGTTTATTGGACAAACTGTTTTATACAACGAAAGAGAAAAGATGGCCAGAAAGGTGTGTGCGCCCTGGCCAAGTTACTCGTTGGAAAATGCTACAAACATGGAATTATAAAACCTGCATCACAGCAGAATTCGGTGATAGGGCAAACTTGCTGTATCAGACCCCAACTCCCAGGGACAGCGAGACAAAGGCACCGAGTCTAGAGTCACCCAAATGGGAAGCCAGATATCAAGCGTGATTTGGGGTGGGGTATCCCCCCGTTTGCTCACTGGGATGGGCCAAGCCACGGACTGGGCTGACTCCACAGCTCGAGGACAACGTGCTACGGGGAGAGCTGGTTCCCATTTCACTAAGTTCCCACCCACGGCTCCTTTTGCTCCTGCTTTTGGCAGGACAACATGTAACCTGGGCACCAAGGGCTCTCTTGTCTCTTGGCTGGAGAGGATTTCTGGTGGAGGGGCGCAGTGGGATCCAGCCACGAGGAAGGACCGTGGCTCTTTTCGCCAGGTCTACACTAGACTTTTCTTGGAAAGTTTCCCACCAGTTCGGCTGCAAGCACTAGTGCACCCTGGGCTCCAGCGGGCTGCCAGCGTGGGCCACCGTGCGTCACCTCTGCTCCCGGTAGCTACCACTGCTGCTGCAGCACTGGTGTTTGCAAGGGTCGGGTGGGATGTTTGCCAGAGTGCCGGGGAGTGAAGGCAAGGCCCTTGCTTCGCTGTTCACTCCTTGATCCCCTCTAGAGGTCCCTTCCCAGGACCCCTTTGCACCTGCTGTACCACTAGTATCCCCCGACCCCCAAAGTAACAAACAAAACAAACCCAAAACTGCCACCCCTTGCGCTAGCGCTCAGCCAACCAGCTGCCCCCTCCGATCTCCAGAGGAACCAGAGCTCCCAGCAGCTGAAAGAATACAGGGAACACAGGGCAGGGAACAAGCGAGATCACAACAGAAAGAACAAGGAGACGCTGGAACCAGGAGCGACCCCCCAAAGCTGTCGGCAGGTGTGTACTGAGCGGGGTCTAACAGTCTGGCGGTGGATTCGGGGAATCCGCGCACTGAGTGGCAGCCTCGTCCGGAGTCCCTCGGGAGGAGCCGAGGTGCTGGCGGTTTTTGGCATTCTGCATACCGGTCCGTAGCGAGCTCGGGCGGGAGAGAGGTTACTGGTGTGACTTGGGGCCCGGAGGGGGTAAGGTCGAGTCGTCAAAGAGGGGGTTCTTCACTTCCATTTCTCCAGTCTGCAGCGGTTGGCAGGGAAAGAAGATTATATAACCAACAGGTTAGAGGTCACAGAATCTTATGTCAGCCCCCCTCGCTCTGAGACACTGTTTATTATGACACAATAGCCCTCCCACCCCATCCTCCCCAGGCAGCGCAGCAGTGCCACTTTCATTAGCAATTGTATCGCAGAAGGGCCTAGAGCAGGGGTGGGCAAACAACGGCCCGCAGGCCGAATCCGGCCCCTCAGGGCTTTGGATCCGGCCCGCGGCGCTGCCAGCATCATGTCCCTGCGGCCCTAGGCCGGGGGGGGGGGGGGGGGGGGGGGGAGGGGGGCGGCAGAGGGCTCCATGCGTTGCCCCTGCGTGCAGGCACCGCCCCCCACAGCTCCCATTGGCCGGGAACGGGGAACCACGGCCAATGGGAGCTTCGGGGGAGGTACCTGGAGGCGCGGCAAGGGCAGCGCACGTGGAGCCCTCCGCCCCCGCTCCCTCAGGGGCTGCAGCGCTTCGGGGAGTGGCGTGGAGCCGGGGACTGGGCAGGCGTGCCCTGGCCCCGGTGTGCGCTGCTGCCACCCTGGAGCTGCTTGACGTAAGCAGCGTCGGGCTGGAGCCCGAACCTCTCCTGCACCCCACCCCCCAACTCCCTGCCCTAAGCCCCCTGCCTGCATCTCACACCCCTCCTGCACCCCAACTCCCTGTCCTGAGCCCCCTCGTAGACCCCACACCCCTCCTGTACCCCAACCCCCTGCCTTGAGCCCCCTGCTGCACCCTGCACACCTCAACCCCCTGCCCTGATCCCCTTCCTGCACTCCGCACCCCTCCTGTACCCCAACCCCCTGCCCTGAGCCCCCTGCTGCACCCCGTGCACCTCAACCCCCTGCCCTGAGCTCCCTCCTGCACCCCGTGCACCTCAACCCCCTGCCCTAAGCCCCCTGCCTGCATCTCGCACCCCTCCTGCACCCCAACCGCCTTCCCTGAGCCCCATCATACAATCCGCACTCCCTCCCGCACCCCAACCCCCTGCCCCGGCCCTGCATACAATTTCCCCACCCAGATGTTGCCCTCGGCCCAAAAAGTTTGCCAACCCCTGGCCTAGAGGCTCTGGCCAAGATCAGGGCCCTGTTGTGCCGGGTGCTGCACAGACACGCAGTGAGAGACAGTCCTGCCCGGTAGTGTAGATGCAGCCAACTGCAAACATTCTTCCCTTCACCAAGCTCCATTTACACCAGGGGCTAGGCCACCATAGCCGCAATGCTGCGGGATGTCACAACCCTGAGCACCGTAGCGACGTCAACCTAAAATGGAAGTGCAGGCCATGCCTGTGTCTCCACTAGCAGCGCTTTACCGGGATCGCTGTGCCTCTATACTAGGGTTACCATATTTAAACATTAAAAAAAGAGGACACTCCACGGGGCCCTGGCCCCTTCCCTTCCCTTCCCCGCCCCTTCCCCAAAGTCCCCGCCCCCTCCCCTGAGCACCCCGCATTCCCCCTCCTCCCTCCCAGCCACGCGAAACAGCTGCCCGAGCGCTACCGGCTTCATGGTTTGCCGGGCAGCCTCCAGACCCTGCGCCCCTGGCCAGGCGCTTCCCCAGCGCAGCCGGAGCCCGGGAGGGGTAGCGCCCGGCCGGGGGCGCAGGGTCTGGAGGTCTGGGGGCTGCCCGGGACTTCTGCTCACACAGGGGCATTGATCTGGGATCACAGCTCCTCACACCCCTCACAGGCGTCGCTATGCCAGCAGAAGTCTGCAGTGTAGACTGACCTGAGGCCTGGTCTACACCGAGAGACCCAGAGAACCCTCAATTTCGTAGTTAGGTCAGCCTAACCCCTGGCATAGACGCCATTAGGTTGACGGAAGATTTCTTCCATTGACCTGGCTGCTGCCTCTTGGAGAGACGGATTATCTACATAACGGAACCCCCTTTCCAGCCATGTAGGAAGCATCTACACCGAGGTGCCACAGCGGCACAGCTGCAGCACCGGACCTGTGCCGCTGTAGTGTAGACATAACCTGAGCCCCAGAGCCTGCACCCTGGGCTCTGTGACTCGCTGCTGCGGGGTTGGGGTTTTTGCAGTGTGGATGAGGGAAGTGACATAGCTGAGATGGGGACCCGGGTGTTCCCATCCTGTGCTCTATCCGCTGGTCCATGCGGCCGCTCCAAGAGACGTCACATTTCCATTCTGAAGTGTGGCATTGTAGGAGCAGATTATGGAACTTCCCTGAGGCTGGGTCCCACCCTGGCTTTGTGAGGAGGGGCGGGAGGAGGTGTAGATGGTATAGGCTCCGGTACCCTTGACCTCTGCTGAGGGGACAGTCTGACCTGCCTGGGCTGTGTTGATCACAGGACTTTTGGACGTGGGCTTTGGCCAAGTTACCCAGGAGACTAAGTGACCAGCTGGGGATGGAGCTGCCAAATAAGATGATTGGTGGGGGAGGAGGGGTGAGAGAGAGCACACAGCTGGGAATCTCTCAGATGGACAAATCTGAAGGCGATGCCTCTCAGCGGGGAAGGGGGGGGGAGAGGAAACAGCCCCACTGAGGCCCAACTACTGTCCCCTTTGGCCACCTTTACAAAACCAGCCCATGAGCCAGCGTTTGCAGCTCTGCAGGGACTAGGAGCTGAAAAATCTGACAGGAACCAGCTGTTTATTCCCCAGACTGCCAGTGTGCGCCCTTTAATGGGCTGTAAAGATGTAATGATGACCCTTAATCTAGGCCCTGATGGTCTGGCAGGGACAGCGATTACCATGTGAAAGGCTGCACTAAAGCTCCCTTTCCGAGTCATTGTGCTTTTTGCACCATAGCTTGTCACAAGGCGGGTAGGCGCTGCCATTGGCGAGGGGGGCCACTGTCGCCAAGCCCAGGAAAAGAATCTGGGGGTTTGCAGCTGAGGCTCCCTAAAAGCACATCAGCCAGGAAACCCCATCTGGGGGGTTACACTGGTCAGTATCTCCTGGGAGGGAGCAAACCTGGCTTCCTTGCCCGATCTAATCAATATCACCCGGCCGGCCCCTTGCCTGGTCAGCTGACAGATGGGAAGCGCCCCACTCCATTCCGGCACTCAGTGGGGGAGAGATTCAGAACAAGCCATGACAAGTTACGGGGTCTCTGCCCACAGGCTGAGGCCTGGTCTACACTTAAAAACAGGTCAACATAGCTACGGTGCTCCAGGGTGTGAAAACTCAAAATCCACTGCCGCAGCTCTGCTGTCCCAACCCCTAGCGGAGACGCAGCTAGGTCCCATTGACCTGGCTGCTGTAGTTAATTCACTTCCCTGAGAGGCGGTAGAAGAATTCTTCCCCTCCACACTCCTGAGTGACAGTTAAGCCAACCTAACCCCTGGTGAAGAATTCTTCCACCAACCTAGCGGCCACCTCCTAGGGTAGTTAACAACCCTGGATTAACTTCCTGATGGGAGAACCCCTCCGGGTCCCTGCAGCGCGCGTCTACGATGCAGCGTTTCCCGTGTAGACGAGCCCTCAGTTTTGACTTGATCATTTGATATTGATTATAAATAGTCAGCAAATATGTATCGTTCCTAGATCATTCATATACAAGTTGGAATGAAACGTTTCGACCTTAGTAAAGCTTTTTGCTAATTTCCCACTGAAGGTTTCGACTAAACTGATACACGCCCGCGACACAGTTGGGTTTCGTTGAAGCAGCCAGCCAGCTCTACTAAGCAGAAGGGTCTGGATCCTGAACAGGATCATTGGGAGCATCTTGGGGGGCCGCCTTCAGCTTAGGTTGAATCCTCTTCTGTGTGAGGGGACGTCAGGAGGAGAGGGGTAGGATGGGAATCTCAAGGAGGAGATTTTGCACGAGGGCCATTTTAAAAAGGTCTTGTTACAAAGAACGAGTTGACTGTTCTTTGTAAGGGAGAGGGTTTTGGAACTGCCTGAGAGCAGGGATCCCGTTCCTCCTCCCCGTCTGCCCAGTGCCGGAGGCCCGGCAGGGCCAGGCAGCGCCAGCTCGAGTGGCTCCCGAGGTAGCTCGCAGGCTCTGAGGCGCGATGGCTGCAAGGGAGCATTGAGAGGCCCCCACGGAAAGGGGCGGAGGAAGCGCACACACTGCCAACTTACAGGAGCCAGCCCTGGGCACTCGTACACCGTGAAATCACCGTCTTCGTTCTCCTCGTCGGAGGATGCCGAGTCAGGCAGTTTGGGCTCCTCTTTATGCCTGAAAAGAGAGAGGCACAGAGAGATGGAGGTGAAATCCACAGGGGCCATTTCCTCTCCAGCTGCAACAGCGCAAACCCAGCACTGTCTAGCAAAGCAGACCCTCCAGCTAGGTTGAAGCAAATGGGGATTCCCAGCACCATCCTTCGGCACCTCTCTCCCCGCCCGGGCATCTCCTGAACTGCACTGGGAACGTCTCCAGAGAGCTCCCGATCCCAGCTCTAGACGCGGGTGACCCTTGTTAACCGTCAGCAGCTGGCAAGGCCGTTGCTGCTTTCTCCGGGAGCGGGAAGGAGTCACTTACTTTTCCATGGAGAGCATCTGCTGTTTCTGGTGTTGGTAGTGATACATCTGGGCGCTCTGAGCCAGCGTCTGATCCCCGGGCTTCAAAAGGAAAACAGAAGCTGTGAACACAGGTCTCCAGAGAGCGGCTAGCTTTCCATTGCCCACAGACCGGAGCCCAGAGGCCAGGCTGAGAGACAGGTTTTAACAGGACTAGAGATGACTTCTCTACGGCACCCGCCCTCCCCCTTTGTGTTTCACTAGCCTCTCCGGAATTCATGCAGGGTTTGCTCACAAAGTACAACCTCACGTGTTAAAAATGGACCATGCTGCCAACGGGTCTGAGAGACGGTCTGGAGCAGCTTACCGAGACCTTGTCGTATGGCAGGGGGCCGGGTAGCTTCTGAGCTGGGTAGTCGGTTTTCTGAGCTAGTCTGATTTCCTTCTGCAGCCTACAGAGGGGACAAGGCAGTGGTTAAGCAGGAATGATTTAAAGGGACAGGCCCCAAATGAAACCTATCCACCTTCTTAGCTTTCTCAAATTCCCTTTTCAACCATTCCCCCCTCCAAACCAAACTACCATGGCTTGGCGCTGCAGCAATGAAAATTCCTACCTGCAATTCCATAACAAACCTACGGGTTTGGGTTCACCCACCAGGACAGGTGTCTACACACACACGCTGAGCTAAAAACCATCTGAGCATCTATCTGCTCACTGGTTCTGACCAGGCAGGAAGCACTGAAACACAATCTTCCCACTCAGAGGTCTGGGGAGAAGCAGTCTTGTACCTTTCAATGGCCTGCCTGTTCTCCAGAGCGGAGCAGAGAGGACAAGCATGAGTCAGGGCCACGGAGGTGTAATGAATAGTGTAGAGAAGGCTGATCAGGAGCTTCTGTTCTGCCTGTCCCACAGCACAAGAACAAGGGACGTTCAACGAAACAGAGCAGGAAATTCAGAACTGATCAAAGGAAACTGTTTCCTGAATGTGGAATTAGCTTGTAGAACTCACAGTCACAGGCTGTGAGGAGGCCAAGAACGTAGGGATTGGAGGTTTATACGGATAACAAGAACATCCAGAATTCTAACGTGGGTTGGAAGGAATATTAAATCTCATGCTTTAGAGCGTAAGCTCATCTCTCCGAGTGCTGGGGAACAGGAGGGAATCTTCATGAGGGACACATTATTCCACATGTGCCTACTACATGGTTTCTCTTGCTCCTTCCCCTGAAGTATCCGGTGCTGGCCACTATCAAAGACAGGACACTGGGTGAATCCAGTCTAGCAGTGCCCATGTTCTTATGAGTTAACTCCATTCATTGCGGCATCAAGCCATTGAACACTGTTCTAGCGATCACCCAGCACTTGTGTGGACGGAGCCAGGGTGTGTGATCTGCTCACAGAAAGCAGGGCAGGAGTCTTCCTGCTTTCAGGTGGTTACGCTGGATCCTTACGTATCTGGGAAGCTCACTGGAACAGGGGCTGTTTGAACAGGGTTCTCGCCCATGCCTGGGGTTCCTAAGTGTCCCCGATAAGTAATCGCAGATAGAAAGGCTCCTTCTGACACTGTCTCCTAGGATCTATTAATTGGCCGTCACAAGTGACAGTCTAGCCAAGCACGCGGCACCTCCCTGCCCTAAAACTCTTCTCACGAGTGGCTCCCACCCATCCAGCCTGGCTCTAGAGCGCCCATCACCACTGCGCCTTACACAACGATTGCTATTAAGTATCGGTCAGGACACTGGACCCACTCTCTCTTGCTTTATGCGCCTTGTCTCCCCTGCTTGCCTCCTATGGGTGCAGACGGAGATGCGTTTTGCACCGTGCCAGGCGAAGGCTCAGCCTGAGGTCCCTAGCCCAAGGAGAGCGATTTCTCTATTTTTAAAATCCTTCCCCAATCCCCTCCCAGTTGCACAGAAGTCCAGGCACAAATTCATCAGGACACCAGGCGGAGGCCCAGCCGTCTGCTGGAGGAGGTCCCTGCTGGCTTACCTGCACCAGCAGATCGCAGCCACGATTAAAGCAATGATGCCGGCGACAGAGAACACCACGATCATCCCTGCAGAGGAAGGAACACAGCCCAGAGCTCGTCACCTGGCTGCTACTGACCAAGATAGCCCAAAACGGACAGAGCAGGTTGTTATGGGCTGTGATGGTTTGCTGGTGGGGGCTCCCTCCCTGCCCTTTCAATAACTAACCCCTCCAAGTCCTGTAACGCCTACCCCGCTGGGCACTATCGCTCACACGCAGCTTCAGTGACTGTTATTGTACCAGGTACGTATGACAGTAAACCTGGTGACTGCCGGTCTCATAAGCAAACTGAATTCCATCTCTCCCCACTGGGAAACGCAATGAACTTCCAGGAGAGGCCAGCCTGAGCTGCAAAGCTCCGCTTCGGAGCCAAACTGCCTCATGGCCCATCACAGACACAGCGGCAAGCCCTGAGGTGCTAAACCAGCTCCCGCACCCCCGCACAGCCTGGATCGGGCCCATCCCTAGCTCTGAACTCCAAAGGGAAGCTTGCACCTACCGAGTATCAGGAGGTCATTTGAAGTGACATGGAACACCTCCACCGGAGAACTCTTCACTGTCTTGGTGGCAGAGGTGGGATGAGATGTCACAGCCCTGTGGCTCGCTCTGTTCCTCTTGAGGGACTCCCCTCTCACCCCAGCAGCTTCAGGATGCTTCCCTGACGGGGCCTGGGTGGCTGTGCAAGAAAGCAGAGACCACAAGCATCAGCAGACGCAGCGTGACCTCCCAACACCCAGCTCTGGGGCAGGCAGCGGAGTTATGGACAAAGAAGTGAAAACTATTCGCTACCCCCATTGGTGTTTAATGCGTTAGCACCGACCAGGATGCACCGTCTTGCTGTTCACGGGGATGCAATACAGAACCCCAGAACATACGGGCCAGAAAGCCCGCAACGTACCCCTTGCTAATAGATCCTGCAGCCCCTCGGCGAGCTCAACTCCCACTGCGGCCAATGGGTCTTGTGCTACGACCGCAGGATCAGGCCCGGAGCTGGTGGGGGAAATCACTTGTGGAATAAATGCGAAGTCCGCAGCCGCTCTCCTCCGTTCGAGCACTTGTGCCCCCCATTATAAAATACAGCCATAAAAGGAAACTTGATTGCCCTGGCATCAGCAGTTTGGGTGCCTCTTATATTAGGAAATAAGGCAACGAAATCTCTCAAGAAATCCCAGCTCATGGGATGGAAAAGGGAGAGAGAGAAGACAAAATTTCCCAAGGTAGGGAACATCTCTCCCCAAAAGCATGTCCCTTTCCCCCGGTCACCAAACAGACAGCACTTCTAGAGCATCTTTCATCTAGAATCTCCCGGGAGAGGTCATCTCTCTTTTACAAATGGAGAAACTGAGGCACAGAGAGGTTAAGGGAGTTCCTCAAGGTCACACAGAGTTGTAGTCGAGCCAGGAAGAGACCCCGGTCCCCTGCTCTAACCACTAGCCTACACTGCCGTGACATGCCTCGAGGATGGGAGTCTCGTATTTGTTTCCAAATGAGGGAGTGCACATATTCTCCAGGCCCTTGGCTTTGCTCCTGCTGAATCCAGGAGCCTTGTAATATGGTGCTTACAGAGCAATGAAAACTCCATGGCCTGCTCTCTCCCCAGCTCAGCCAGCCAGGAAATGCCAGAAACACTTCCCTGGAAACCTAGTAATTTAGGCCAGGAACTTAAGCACCACTCTATTAAATTGGCAGCAGGGACAGTAAAACGGAACCCTTCGTAAGCAGGGCATTTCAGAGGGCTCGTGTTTATTTACTTTCCACGGTTTTCAGCCTTCGAGAGGAGAGTCTGAGTTGTTGATCACAGGAGTCGTGTCTGAACACTGGGACCGTTGGCCTCAGAGTCACTGAACGCGGAAAGCAGCGCAACTGCATGAAAGCGGCTGGGAGAACAGGCTAAGGAGAGCAGGTGGGTGACTTCTGGACTCACCATCCTGGAGCAGATGGAGGTGAGAGGCATCCTGCCTGGCCAGCACGTCAGCTAAGAAGTCGATTTCTTCCTCTAGGTTGGGAACAGAAGTTCTCCCTGAGGAAAGAGAGAAAACTACTGTAATGGTTTACTGCTATGGAGCATCAGGGGCTTACGGCTCCCAAAGGAATGGTCAGCTGCCCACAGCAACCCGTGCATTATACAGGGCAAGGATCCAGCTCTGCGGCTGGAGAGCAAGTGACAGCTTGGAGCTCCTGCAGGAGCAGTTTCCTCCGTAGGCAGGTCTGAAACACACTCTGCTAATAGAGGGCAGGGATTCTGAAACTGGGGGTCCTGAGGTTATGTGGGGATCACGAGTACACGCACAAAACAGAGCAACTGCAGTAAAATATATAACTGAAATCTAGTGTTTTAGAAAATGACACACCTTTCCATCACAATATAGTGCAGTTACTTCACAAAAAAGGTAATTTATAATGTAACTGCCAGACACACAGGCAGGTGTGGCACTGTGGGGGTGCTTACGGGGGTTATAGCCACCTCAAAATTTGCCTTAGCCCCCGTGCCTACCCCTCCCAGCGCAAAGGCCAAACCTTATGCAGAAGTAAGGGTGACATGGTATGGCATTGCCACCCTTACTTCTGCAATTCTGCGCTGCTGCTGGCGGCAGTGCTGCCTTCAGAGCCGGGCACCCAGCCAGTAGCCACTGCTCTCCGGCTGCCCAGCTCTGAAGGCAGCGCTGCCGCCAGCAGCAGCATAGAAGTAAGGGTGGCAATGGGGCGCTAAGTCTGCTGTGAAAATGGATCTTGACAAAATTTCTTCACGCCCTCCCAGTATTAAACAGTAACAATTTTTAAAAACAACTTTTCTGCTTATAATGATAATAATTCGATAACAATGTTTTAGTCTTAATTTAAAAGCAATGGGAAAAGGTAAATTCATTTTAAACAACAGGGTTATAAATTTAGCATTTAAAATACTGTTAAATATAAAAAAAATGTATTTTTAATTGTTAAGGGCGGGGGGGGGGGTTGCTGTGTGAAAGGGGTCGCCAATCCAAAAAGTTTGAGAACCACTGTGCTAAATCCTGCAGCCTGTAGGTGAGTGTAGTCAATGGGTCTTGTGTTAAGACTGCAGGATTGGACCTTTAGCTGGTGAAAACGGCGGAGAAGAAACAGCACCCACCTGCCTCCCTGGCACCCTATACAAGCAGCACTGGCCAATGTCAGGTGACTCTCTCCCAGTCCTGTAATTCAGACTCTGAGCGCCCCCCCCCCCAACCAAACCCAAAATAGTTGGGGGGGGGGGGGGGGGTTCCCCCCCCCCCCCCCCCCCCCGAAAGAGATTTTAAGCAGAACTCAGAAAATCCCACTGACGGGCTGGAAATATTTCACTGCTCCGATGGAATCAGAAGGCGGTGGCGAGCAGAAAGGAAGTCACAGCCAAGACAGCCTTCTGTACAGGTTCCTCACGTTGTGATCACAGCCGCCAGTCCCAGATAAACCCCATCAGAGCAAATCCAGAACCCTAAAAGGGCCAGGTCTGGCCTACAAGTGTGTAACAGCCACTGAGCTCATGTAAAATGTTTTATTAAAGCTAATGTTAAAATTGTCTAATACACAGGTCTAAAAAAGAGTTTCTAAACATCTGGGTATAACGCTTGAATTATCCAGAAGTACAGAGCTTGGTTTGAAAAGCCAGAACGTTCACATAGTACATAATCTGCAATATCTCAAATGAAGGTTAATAAATGTAATGATCCAGTTTAAATACTAGCATCCAAATATTCCGATACATCACTCGCAAAAAGTTATACTAAGAATAGTTTATGGAAAGCAAATATAGCAATGAGCGTAGATTGTCCCTCAGTAACTGGGAATTTAGGAGAGGTTGTCCCTCTGTAAATACAATCCATCAGAGAAGTATGTCAGTTACTTTCCTGATTTCGCTTTTCAATGGCACTCCAGCTCAAAAAGCCAAGAAAAATATTTGCTGCCATCACAAGGCTAAGAAGAAAAACACGTCCGTTTAGAAGCTATCTGGGAATTGACCCTCTGCATTTGTTAGAGAAAGACAACAAACAAAGGTACAAACCTTTTACATGTTATAGCAGCAATTGTAGGGTCTCTCTTGAAATCAAACAGCAGGTGACTGTGCCGGAATGGGGCTGGGCATCAGAGGAAAGGTAGAGTAGGGTAGACTATGACCAGCTAGTGTGTTTTAAACACAACTTGCTCTACCTACACTAGGTGCAAAGTCCTGTTAGCTAACACATTTTCTAACATACCCTTTCCCCCTACTCTAGAGGTGGCCCTTGAGTAGATGCTGGGTTCTCTGCTATTGGACACTGGATATTTATCTAGACATCCCCACCCACCCTTGGAGTTCTGGACACATCTCGGATCATCGAGGCTTGCTCTGAACTTGCCCTATGTAATCAAAGCCCCTGGGGGCTGGTCGGAAGCCCCCGGAGCTGGTAGCACTCAACAGAGGAAGAGGCCGTATTCTTGAGAAACACGATTTGAAAATTATTTATTCCCATGGAAGATTATTATTAGGCAGGGTCTCCTGAGAAGGGCAGGGGATGAGAGAGGACACTTTGCCCTTACTCCAGATCCTCGGATGAAAGGACATTTTACATGAAGGATTGTCAACTCCTTCCCTTTAAGAAGCCAATACCAGCCCTGGTTGGACAAAGCCCAATTTTTCCTGGGTGTTGAGGAGGGTTGAGAGGCACAAGGTGCTTCTGAGGCTGGATGGGGTTTCCATTCAATCATCCCATTGTTCTCCGCCCAAGCAGGTGTTCCATACAGGAGCCACTGGGTGGGATAGCACAGCCTGTGTCAAACGGGACGTCAGACTAGACAATCCCAATGGAACGTCCCTTCTGGCCTTGACATCCATGGCTCTATGGCTGACGTGTGTGTGGGGGGCGGTGGGGGTGGGGACTTCCTGCCAAACATTTTGAAGGTTTCTGAGTACACGCAACTTGTAGGTTGTATGTTGTGCACAAAGATCTCAAAGAGCTTCACAAACATCCACCTTCTCAGCACCCCTAGGCTTGGCATAACTCCAATCTGTGTGAAATGGGGGCTGAGGCGCACAGCCTGGCCAAGGAGCAAGTCAATGGCAGCACTGGAAAAAAGAACCCAGGAGTCCTACTCTCCAGCTGGGAGAATACTCCATTCGCCCTCCCTCCATTCTATTTACAAACATTCCCATGGCGCCGCAGCCCTGCAAGAAATACCCTCTGTCCTATAAATGAAACCCACACAGACCACTGGGCGTCGAGGTGAATGAGAGGCAGATAGAAATTACGCAGAAAGGGAAACCCGGAGGATGTTGTGAAACGGAGCCGGCCGAGGGAGGAAAGGAAAGTGATGAAAGTCTGGGGAGCAGCAGTGCCTCTTGGGAACACCATGAACAGGCCCTTCCCCGAAACATGCACTGCAATAGTGTTTCTCAAGTCAATAACCTGAGTTCATGGCCTGACCAGGCCTCAGCGGAGTGACACCGACCAGTGGGGCTGGAATGGACAGGCTGCCGCGAGCCGCACAACGTCCAGCTAAGCGGTGTTTGGCTATCGCCCACGCGACGCCCGGGACGGCCCTGGCACTGCACAGGGAAGATGATCTGTCCCTGCTCTGAGGTTAGGAACATAAGGGGAAGTGATGACAGATGACGGAGAGGGAGAGAAACTCAGAAGAAGTGAGGAGAAAGGGCATCAATCCCGTCCTGCCAGCCCCCACGCCTCAGCTCTCCAGGCGGGATCACCAGCATGCGCATGGCCCCTCCCAGCTTCCCCCAGCCCTCCTGCTCCCTCACACCAGATCATGTACGTTCACCATGGGCCTCCTCCTCGGCCCAGAGGGTAGGGCAGTCTCCAAGCTCTAAGCGGGGGAGGAAGGATCATGAACTCCGGTGTTCTCCGGGGCCAACAGGGGTCTGTCCAATCATGGGTGCAAGATGACATGAAGACCCCAAAAGTATGGGCTAGGGGCCACCGCCCCCTGCTGGCCCTGCCCACATTCACCTTGGGGGGGATCTCACTGGCAGTGAGTCACAAACCAGAGTTTGCCACTGACTGAGCTAGACACAGAACCCATCTCCTGCCCCTTGGGAGGAGAGATTTGCCTTAATGATGCCAGCAGCAGATATGAACCCCTGAAGCCAGCAGCCGCTGCTGTCAGCACAGTCCCGGGCAGGCTGCGCTCAGGGCCCCCCATCCCTGCACTTTGAACTCGGAGCATCCTCAGGGCGTGCGGTACAAAGGCAGCTGCAGAGCCGCGGAGAGCGCCGTGCTCCTGATAGCTGCGGGGCCATTGCATGGCACAACAGCGGGCCTCATTGCCCTACTGCAGGAGGAGGTCAGGCCCAATATGCTGCAGAGCCAGGCGGGTCTCCCTTGGTGACCGAGGGCCAGCAGCTCACATGAGGCAGGGGCCTGGCAGAGTTACCGGCTCCCACTGGCCCCTCACACAGGAGCAAACACGACTTTGCAAACACAGTGGCAAGCGGGAAGCCTGGCGGTGAGCCCCCAGCCCCCTGCACACATGCTAATGAGCCAGCGCCGCAGGCTCCAAGACAGACGGCTGCTGCGACAGGAAGTCCTCCAGGCAGGGCCTGTTTGCCCCCGCCCCGCGCAGAGAGCACCCGTCTCCATCTGTGGGTGGGGAGCTGGGGCAAGGGCTTTCACTGCTGCGTGGGCCTATGCCACATCCTACGTCACTAGCCCCAACTCCGGCTCAGTGCCGCGGCCGCCTGTACTGTGCTCCCCTGCCCAGCCAGTGCCCCACGCTTAGTGGCGGTCGGTGCTGCTCTCAGCCACGCGGGCAGGGTGGTCCCCGAGGCAGCAGCGCAGCCCTGATCCCCACCTGCCAGAGAGCGCGCTGCTTCCTGACGTGTCCCATCACTGGACTGCCCTGCCCCTCCCAGCCATTACAAACCACAATCAGACAAAAGCACAGCCGTGCTCCCCAGACCTGCACGCAGGTCTCCGCCTCGGCCGCCTGCTGCCAGCATCTCAAAGCTCTACCACCCCCTTCCACCACTGGGCTTTGTTTTTAAGTGACTGTCCATGGCTCCAAGCGTCTTAT